CCTCCAACAGCATCAAATCCCCATGAGATCAGGGCATTGGCTTCCACTCTCGCCCTACACGGTAACTGTTCATTGAATACAATTATGGAAGGATGCTTTTGGAAATCTAACATGGTGTTTGCTAATCACTATCTGAGAGATATCACCACCGAGGACGTCTCAGGTATTCACCATTTCGGTCCCTTGGTCCTCGCACAGCAGTTGACAGTCCCTCGTAAACGTTAACACATAGTCTTACGAGATTAATATGCATAATTGATACATGCATTATCTAGCTTATAACTCTACGGAGTTCTAGCACTATGTATATACTTAGCTTAGGTCTACTCACCCTTAAGCTTTTACTGATGATTATGTTCAGTTGTATAGCTTCTCTATCAGAGTCGCTTTGATATTGTTATTTGATAATATCACAGTATATTATTATTGTAAATACCCCAGTATGGCAAAATATAACCTATGGCTTATAATAGAGGAAATATCCTAAGTCTATGCCTTTATGAAGTTCCCGTAAGGGGTTATTACAGTTATATCTATATAAATCACTAATTCTATAAATCCAAAGTATTCTGTTTTTCCCACCTCCGTTTCCGTAGGATTCTACAAGCAAAAGAGCATGAGTCAGGATAAGGAAAAATATGTAATTTTTAGAGTAAAATTGATATTTTATACTTATCCTGACTCATGAGGTAAGCCCTCCCATCCTCCCCACATAACACTTTGGATTTCCCTGTAAATTCAAGTGTTGGGCTCGCAAAATCAGGAGAGAGTGAAGCATGAGGCCAGAGGGTGGCGACACCTGTTCCCGCGCAAAGGGCAAGGGAGGCAACTCTTGGTGAGTACCAATTAGTGATTTTACATTGAAGGGAGCTTCAATTAAGGAGATACAAGTGTTCCACTATGTTCGCAAGAAGAAGAAGACAAGCAAAAGAGCATGAGTCAGGATAAGTATAAAATATCAATTTTAGTTGTCTCTGTGGAAAAATTACATTTTACAGGAGACACGGCCTACTACAACACCACACAGTGAACACCGTGGAGGTACAGAGACACCATACTACGTGAATACAGACAGGAGACACAAGCGACTACAACACTACACAGTGAACACCGTGGAGGTACAGAGACACCATACTACGTGAATACAGACCGTGGTACAAGATGCACGGCCTACTACAACACTACACAGTGAACACCGTGGAGGTACAGAGACACCACACTATGTGAATACAGACAGGAGACACGGCCTACTACAACACTACACAGTGAACACCGTGGAGGTACAGAGACACCATACTACGTGAATACAGACAGGAGACACGGCTGACTACAACACTACACAGTGAACACCGTGGAGGTTCAGAGACACCACAACTGCCTCCGTGGTGTAGTGGTAAGAGCGTCCGCCCGGAGAGCGGAAGGTCGCAGGTTCGATCCCCGACCGCGTCATACCAAAAGACGTTAAAATATGGTACTTGTTGGTCCCTGCCTGGCGCTCGGCATTAATGGGTAAAACAAGGACTGGTCGGCTCGGAGTCAGTATAATGTGTCTGGAGTGGGGTATTCCTGCTTCACTGCGGCATGCTATCTCAGTGGGCTAGCACTATAAAACCAGCTTCAGTCTGGGCTAGTACAAGCAGACGCACATACACATACGCATGCACGTCGTCATATGAGCGAAATATTCTCAAGCACGACGTTAAACCCAATTTCACCTCAGAGACACCACACTACGTGAATACAGAAAGGGATACAGGAGACACGGCCTACTACAACACTACACAGTGAACACCGTAGAGGTTCAGAGACACCACACTACGTGAATACAGACAGGAGACAACGCCTACTACAACACTACACAGTGACCACCGTGGTGGTACAGAGACACCACACTACGTGAATACAAACAGTGGTACAAGATGCACGGCCTACTACAACACTACACAGTGAACACCGTGGAGGTACAGAGACACCACACTACGTGAATACAGACAGGAGACACAGCCTACTACAACACTACACAGTGAACACCGTGGAGGTTCAGAGACACCACACTACGTGAATACAGACAGGAGACATGGCCTACTACAACACTACACAGTGAAAACCGTGGTGGTACAGAGACACCACACTACGTGAATACAAACAGTGGTACAAGATGCACGGCCTACTACAACACTACACAGTGAACACCGTGGAGGTTCACAGACACCACACTACGTGAATACAAACAGGAGACACGGCCTACTACAACACTACACAGTGAACACCGTGGAGGTACAGAGACACTGCACTATGTGAATACAGACAGGAGACACGGCCGACTACAAGACTACACAGTGAACTCCCCTGGAGGTACAGCGACACCATACTACGTGAATACAGACAGGAGACAGGGGCGACTACAACACTACACAGTGAACACCGTGGAGGTACAGAGACACCACACTATGTGTATTACCTGGACTTCTGGGACATGAGTCAAGCGTCAGAAAACAACGACGTTCATCCCAACATGACACTAGTAGGCCAGATGGCAGACGCTACTTGGGTACATATGTCCGAACTGATCTCTTAGGACCTCGAATCCACACCTTCATCTGGTGTCAAGGCTTTGGTGGTTTGGTCAGGCGGTGAGGTGGCCGAGTGGTTAAAGCGTTCCCTCCCACGCCCAGGTCACATTCCATGTTCAGGTACGTTGTCTGAAGTTCATTTCTGGTGTCCCTGACATGGAATTGTCTAATACCAGTTAAAACGGCGGGACTTATAAAACGTGTACCTGGCTTCAGACTTGGCGCCCAAGACACCCGAGATGTGAGGAGTGATATTGTTGATCTTTGTTGTAAAACAATAGTGTTAGATGATAGTTATTTCTTCTTACTGACGGTGACGATGCTCTCGGCTTTAAGTCGTAACTGACATTATCCACTATTTCAGTGCAGTAAGTTATACAGATAATATTTCTTCCCTTGCCGTCACATTGACATCACTTCCCGGATAAACTTGCTGATGCGTCTGGGAAACCGAGCAATGCACCGCGAGGATGTGGGCGGCGTCAGAATGTGGACCTGAGATTAGGAGACCCGCCCTATTTGGCGTTGTGTTGAGTGATCGCAGCTGTTCCATGCACTTAAACTATCTTTAGTTGAAGTTAAACGTAAATATTGAAGTTGATCCTTGCTACTGCCATAACAGCACACCTAATAGCAAGAATGTACAGTGACCAGTTATTCAGTCGTGTATAAAAGACTGAAATGGACATAAAAAGATGGAATTAGTTCTACAATAATGGGTAAATAAAATCAGTAATGACTTGATAATTTAAAAGGTGTACACTAGTGTTGGGAATTGGTTAAAATCTCATAATTGATGATTGGTTTATTACAACCGATCAATCATCGAAAAAAATTGGTTAGCGTCATTAATGTTTGTTAATGCACATAAATATAAGGAAAAAACGTGGTTCTTTTGGGGTGTTTTTGGCAAAATTTCACTTCTTTAAAGGATGACTAGTATGCCAGGAGCATAAATTTCTTGGAGTCTTTAAGATAAATTCAATCATGACTTGAAACGAGCTTGTAGTGCTTATGAAATGTAACAGACAAAAACAACCTTGTGAAAAATATTGTTTATGAAAACAAGTGTTTCAAGAATTGTTTGAGTTCGATTATGAGAAAACATGATCAATTGCTTGGTCGTTTGGTCACTGCGACCAATCTTCGATTATTTCAATTAATCGGACCACCACTACTGTACACCGGACATGTTCACATCGTCCATGTTTGAGCGTATGCTTCTCTATGCTATTGATGACCTGTACATGTATTTCATTAGAGGCGAGGTGAGGTGAAATTGGGTTTTACGTCGTGCTTGAGAATATTTCGCTCATATGACGACGTATTTCCTTAGAACAAACAGACATTGCTCTTCATATTTACATGTGTCATTTGAATTGGGTGATCAAACTAACACACCCACCCATTAGATACCGTGTTAACGGAACGCGTTTATCTTCTGTGGTATCCCACGAATACAGTATTCCCTGTTCATGTCAACAACAATTACAGTTACATTGTGACTTTCTCTGTAACCAAGTGTAGCAGCCAGAGATGACGAAACGTTATGGATGATCAACTTCTTTATTTTTGGTATAGATTCTTTTACCGTTTTCAAGCATATGCTGTCCCTAAAGTTTTGTCATCTCTATACCACCAACTTCTAGAATGCCACTCAAACAAATGTAACAACCAGGCTTAAACGAGGGTGGAACACAATTCGTTCATTGATACATTTTTTACTAAGACTTCAGAGGAGTATGCGTTACTGGTTCATCTAAAGTACAGTCTGGGTGCTCACACTGTTTCAACTCGTAGCACGAGAGGGGATCGCAGCACGTCCCTTAGACTAATGCTTAGTCTCTGAATATATATAATTTTGATAGTAACAAACAAGCCCATTTAAATTCAAAAGGAGCCCTAGGGAGACCAGAGATTCAGAACCTGAGGAAATCTAGACTTGCTTTATTTAGGGCTTTAGCACTGCAGAGAGGGCTAGGCAGTAGGGAAAATAATGTGGTTCGGGGACTGTGAGACAGACTACACGTCCCTGTGTAACACAGGTTTGTCATCCACAGGACTGAAACTGGTTCACACAAATAGATAACGGGTTAGGAGGTGGGAGTTTGTTACCGTTCACTGGTATTGCTGATGTCAATATCATCATTGAATGACCTTTTGAAATATACTTTTCAAACTCGCAATCTGCACGTTTCTAACAACTCTTATTGTTTGTAGTACAAACATTTGGAACTGCATCAGTGTTGTAAAAGCAGCAATGAAAGCATTGTGTGATATACCATTGAGAGAGAGAGAGAGAGAGGTGAGAGAGAGAGAGAGAGAGAGAGAGAGAGAGAGGGGTTTGGCATGAAATTGTGAATTGTATGCAACATGACTTTAACATGCCCACATATCAGTGGGTAGATCACACCGCATCCCTGTAGCAGGACTGCGTCAGTCACGCACAGACAACAGACGCTACTTTTGTTGTTCTTCAATGGCCGATGATTTATTGGAGATATGGTATAGGTGAAAACGACAACCCTGAAACAATCAGGTGTACAATATAATAAATGCAGCAATATACACATATCCAAACACAGATATACACATATAATTCGTACATATGTTATAACATTACAAAATAGTTGCTTCAGTAAACAATTACTGTGTACAAAATGTATTTCATTTGATATACATGACATATATACAATATATAAACCTACCAGGTGTGTGGGCCTAGGTTTATTTCACACCTGGGGACGCTGCTGTATCTGTATTAAATGTTTGCCTGTAGAGAAAATAACAATAATATATACAGACATGCTAATGATGAACATATACAAAAGCATTCTCAGCACTGATACAGTAATCAAACACAAATTTGGCTGTAGCTGAGCAAGATATAAAACAATGCAAAATAAGACCTCATTCATTCATTCATTCATTCGTGCTTATTTTCATTCACCCATTTATGATTACAAAGCTATACTTGTGTTCATCCATTCATCACATGCTCACGTGGTTAACCTTGCCTTTTAATAATCATGTTACTAATATTACATTATAATGAATGTAGAGTATTTATCACCAACTTCACAGTACTAATTTAAGACTAACACACACTGATACAACTACAAGTTATATCTACAAATGATATACATGAACAATAAATAGATAAAATATCCAAATTACCTTAGAATATGATCCAAAGATATGATCCAAAGGTATGTCCAGAAAATGAACAAGACATGTTGACACACTGAAGATTGAATGTGGAGTGACCACAAACCTTGTAATGTGTAAAAGTGTAAAGCTTAGCTGATTGCCCAAGCTGGCTATAAAGACAAAAGAACGTAGGTGGGGAAGGGCTTATGTTATTGTGCTGTGTGGTGAACATGCGGTAAGCATGCTCAGTGAACTGGCTGTGAGTGATAGTTAGTTAAGGCAGGCTAAGTATCATGATAAAATAAAATGACTAAAGCTGTGCAATGAAATTTAAAGCATTTATTTACATGAATTCTAATCAATTTACAACATGTTAAAATATACAAAATCTGTTACTGCCACATACTTCCCTCCTGTGGAAAATGACGTCCACGTCATTCTTGGGGTTCGTCAATGAGTGAAAGAAGTGCTTTGGAAATGCCACTGCTGATGTGACCAATGACGCCGGTAGCAACTAACTGTTCTATGCGTCGACTCTTCTGATGCCAATCTGGATCAGAAGTCTGGCACATCACATATTCCCCGGACGTCTGCCATGTTGGTTTCTTAGTTTGGCGTCCAGAGCGTCGTGGAAGTGGTGTTGGTCTTGAGACAACTACAGGAGTTACAGGAGGAGATTCCCTTCCAAATGAGTCTTCTTGCTCTGATGTGTCTTCAGGTTCTGCTTCTGTGCAGTCTTCACTAGTATCAGTCTGCACGTGGTCGTCACCACCAGAAGCATTACCATCTGTCTCAGCAGACACCTGGTCGTCACCACTTGTCTGTGAGATAGATGTATCCTTGTCCACAGTACTCCCACTGATGAAAGTCTCGTCATCAGGAACTGCTGGAATTATCAACAGATCTTCCTCCTCTGACTCATTGTCCTGAGTGTCTTCTGATTCCACTGATGATTCGGTGACTGGTTTGGTCGTTTCCTGGATCTTGGTGCAGGTGTTGGCTGGTGTAGCTGGTGCGTTGGAAATTGGAACTGATCCTATAGACGTCCTTGATCTTGGTGCTGGCTGTGTGCCTCAGAAATGGCAATTGATCCTATAGGTAAGAGGTGATTCCGATGAAGGGTCCTCTTCCTCCCCTCTCCCGTTTCTCTCTGCACAACAAACACAGGGATATCCTGGTTTGGCTGCGAGAGAACAACAAACGGATCCTCTTCCCAGCGATCTGCCAACTTATGTTTTCCATCGAAGGCAAGTGCCTTTACTAGCACTCTGTCTCCAGTCTGAACAATCGCGCCACGCACTTTCAAGTCATAACCAGTCTTCTGTCTATCTTTGGCTGTCTCTGATGCTCTGGCTGCTAGCTCATAAGCCCCTTGAAGTTTCTTTCGAAGAGAATCCCCATATGATGAAACTGATCCATGTCCCTGGCTGGTTTCAATGCCAAAAGCCAGATCAATTGGCAGGCGAGGCTCTCGACCAAACATCAAGTAAAATGGGGAATGGTTGGTGGATTCATGCCTAGTACTGTTATATGCATGGACAAGGGGAGCAACATAGCTCTTCCAATCCGTCTTCTTGTCAGGCTGTAGAGTTCCGAGCATGCTGAGTAGTGTCCTGTTGAAACGCTCAACCATTCCATTGCCCATTGGATGATATGGAGTTGTCCTGCTTTTCTCCATTCCCAAGATGGTACATAGTTCCTTCATCAGACGGCTCTCAAAATTAGCTCCCTGGTCACTATGTATACGCTTGGGAATGCCATAGTGTAGAATGAAGTTTCTAAAGAACACTTCTGCTGTTGTTTTTGCAGTCATGTTGCGTGTTGGAATCGCTTGTGCATATCTTGTAAAATGGTCAGTTATGACAAGTACATACTGATGACCTCCTTTAGAAGCTTCTAGAGACAAAAAGTCAAGACAGACTAACTCCAAGGGCTGGGTGGTAGTTATGTTCATCAGAGGTGCACGAGCATTGATAGGAGACTTCCTGCGTAAACATCGGCCACATCTTTGAATGTAATCCTCCACATCCTTGTGCATTCCTGGCCAGAAGAAACGGTCACGTAGGAGCGATGATAATGTGCGGTCTCTCCCAAGATGTCCAACATCATCGTGCAATCCTCGCAATGCATCATCTATAAAGGCAGAAGGCAATACCAGCTGTTGTCGCTCTTGTCCATCCAGGATAACCTTTCTGTACAGAACTCCACTCTGTAATGTCAAGCTGTCAAAGTGCCGATAAAAAGCATTATTAGCTGGACATGGTGGATAATCCTGTCGTCTTGGTTTCTTCCTTGCTTTAACCAGCGCTATCCATGGTCTCAGAATGTCATCTGAAGACTGAGCCATTCTCCAGTCTCGCTGTGTCATTGCTGTGAGATGCTGTCCAGGTGGATCCATATCTGTGACCTCTGGTGATATGGAGAAGGATAGTGACTGTATAACAGGGTGACCTTGCAGAGTATTGCATACTGCTCTAACTGACTCAGCTGGCATCTGGGACTGTTGATGGCAATCCTCTATTCCCGGAGTCTGGAGAGTCCATCCGCATCCGCATTATTGAGGCCTGGCCTGTAGACAATGTCGAAGTTGTATGCAGCTAAAGCTGCCAGCCATCGGTGTCCTGTGGCATCAAGTTTGGCTGTGGTGAGTACATAAGTAAGAGGGTTATTATCTGTGTAGACAGTAAAGCTATTACCATACAGATAATCATGGAACTTTTCAGTCACCGCCCACTTGAGTGCTAGAAACTCAAGGCGATGAGCTGAATAGTTACCCTCAGACTTGCTAAGCCCTCTACTTGCGTAGCTGATGACTCTTTTAATTCCTTCCTGTTCTTGGTACAGAACTGCACCTAGGCCACAGGTGCTGGCATCAGTGTGCACCTCGAATGACTTGCTGTAATCAGCATATCCAAGGACAGGTGGTGAAGTGAGAAGATCCTTGAGCTGACAGAATGCTGATTGTTGAGACGGTCCCCACAGAAAAGGTTTATCAGCATCTGCAGTTCTTGTATTTCCACGTTTCTTGGGTCTTGTACTGGGCATTAAGGAAGTTAATGGTTTGGCAATCTTCGCAAAGTCTCGTACAAACTTACGGTAGTATCCTGTAAATCCCAGAAACTTTCGAACTTCCTCAGGATTTCCAGGAATAGGCCAATCCTTGATCCGTTGTACCTTATCTGGATCAGCTTCTATACCATGTTCTGAGACGACATGTCCAAGAAATTTGATCTTAGTCTTGAAGAAGGAGCACTTGTCTGGGGTGAGCTTCATTCCAGTGTCTCTGACTCTTTGAAGGATCTGTTGAAGACGCTCCAGATGTTCGTCATAGGTTGTGGAGAACACGATAATATCGTCCAGGTAAATTAGACATATTTTAAGGTGGAGTCCATCGAAACACTCAGCCATGAGCCTCTGATATGTTGCTGGGCTATTGCAAAGTCCAAATGGCATACGGTTGTATTCGAAAAAACCTAATGGACCAACGGTGAAGGCTGTTCTCTCCTTGTGGCACTCTTCAATTTCCACTTGATGATATCCGCTTTTCATGTCCAAGGTGCTGTAGAATTTGGATCCTGCAAGGGCATCAAACATCTCCTCTATGCGTGGCAGAGCGTAGGAGTCCTTTATGGTCTGTTGGTTAAGCTGTCGGAAGTCCACACACATGCGTAATTTTCCGCTTTTCTTACGCACCAATACAACATTAGATGACCAGGGTGAGAAGGAATGACGGATGACTCCACTTGTAAGAAGTTGTTGAAGATGTTCCTTCACTTCTTGGTACATGGCGGGTGGAATCCTTCTGTGCCTCTGCTTGAAGGGTCGGTCATCTTCAAGGTCAATCCTATGTTTCACTGTTGTCACATGTCCAATGTCCTGTTCGCCCGTGGAAAATACATCAAGAAACTGTGAAATGGTTTCCTTTCCAAGTCTGAGTTGTTCAGGCGTGACATCAGCCTCATTGAAATCCATTAAGTCCATGGCCTGTTGACCTTCATCCTGGGTAGGTGTTTTGGCTGGGAGATCTTCAATGGAGACAACTTGAAGCTCGCATAACAGGGCTCTTGTTGGAATAGATACAGTCCTTGTGGTGACATTAGAAACATGAACTTGAACCATGATCTTTCATCGTGATGGAAATCGACAATGGTTGGTGCAATGTCTAGATCAGGTGGAATAGCAGAGTTCTTGGTCGGTTGTACAACAGCACAGGTGTCTTTGTAGACTATAGGCTTGCACAAATATCCCTGGATAACCCCTCTCAGTGTTAGGTAGAATGGTAAAACGACCATGTTCAGCACTGCGAACCTTACCTAACGAATAGTTATGCCTTGCCAGTTCCCTCTCTTGTAAGAGCATATTGCGGAATGCCATATACCATGGTGTATGGATATCAGCCTTTTGAAGGAATCGGCTTCCATACTGATTCTTGCATTCATCCATGTAGCAAGATAAAATATTTGTGCCTAGCAGCACTGGGACTGTGGTGTTATACGGGGTATCAGGGACAACAAGCATAATGCAAGGCAGTTTAGCTGAGGTTGCACCTACACCCTGTACTTCAACCTCTATAAACCCATCATAAGGGAGATGCTGGCCATCTGCACACTCTATCTTCAGAATAGCATCTAAGGGCTGTAGGGGTGTAGCTGGTAGGGAGCGAACGTAAAAACTATGGGACACAGTTGACACTGTTGACCCAGTATCCAATAAGGCTCTTGCCTCTATCCCATTTACAAAAACTGTTCCTTCATTAGGTTTACCTATCAGGGTGGCTACCTGCTGACTGCTGTTGGGTGGGCGTTTGTGACCAAAGCCTATGGTTTGCCCCGTCCCATAGGCGTCTTCCTGTTTAAAGAGAACTTGGAATGATCCAGCCTAACTCGACATCCATACTGTAAGTGTCCTGGCTGTTTACATCTGAAGCAAATAGGCTCTTGGGTGTCTGGACATCTAGAACGATGCTGGTCCTGGGGGGTTCTTGAAGTTGGTTGATTCCACCTTTGAACCTGTGGTCCTGTCGGGGGCAATGACCAATGCTGCTCCTGAGATGGGTGTTGTGGATGCCAGTATGATTCTGACCCAACCGCTGTATTAAATCCCTGATGGCCATGTGAGTATTGCCATGGTGTCCTGTCGTCAGAATAAGAAGTGTCCCGTTGCTTCTTGAGCTCGGCAACTTCAGTTGTTAACTGTTTCAAGATCCCCTTGATCTCCTTCATCTCTGGATCCCGGACTGCTACAGCGGCCATATTGGGGGTTGCACCCTTCTTCCCAGTCCTTGCTCCCCTTTGCTGTAAGTCAGCCTCTGCTCGCCGAAGAGCTCGTAGGAGATCTTCATAACTGTTGCCCTGGTCAAATACATGTGCTGTCAGATCTCGCAGATCTGGTTTAGATCCTGACCATAGCTGGGTCCTCAACATCTCACTCCTGGTCTCTAGTGGGATGGATCCCTGTGTTGCAGCCTGGTTCAGTAGGTGTTCGAGCCTACAATCCCATACAGCAACATCTTCTGACTCTCCCTGGCGTGCACCATAAAAGCATGCTAACAATGACTGGTTCCTGTCAACACTGCCGAAAATACTTTCTAACTTTGAGATGAGCTGTTTTAAATCAGCTTCTGGCCCTAGGCACATAGCAATAGTGGCTGCCTTCCCACGTAAAGAATGCTGCACAGTATTGGCAACAGCTTGTTGAGACAACGATTTGTTCTGTAGCAAACATTCAACTTGGTACTTCCAGACTTCGAATGAAGTCTCGCCCTTCTGTTCACCTGAGAAGGATGGTAACCTTGGGGCTTGTGTCAAGGTAACTGGTGACGGAAAACCAGAAGGAGATTGCTTCTGAAATTTTCCTGAACTAACTGCACCTGAGGTTCATCTTCAGCCTCTACCTTGGCCTGAGTGTAACTCGTCATCCATTGTACTAAGTCCTCGGGGGCTATCGGACTTGGGCCAGGTCTTGAGCGCCTTGAAAGCTCCAATCAGATTCTTTACTTCTTCTGGTGTTGGTTCAGTCATAGTGACAGAAACGAGGGAAGTAGTCAAATGTAAACGAAGAAAAGCAGGTGTGGTAACCGTATAGGTAAACGTCCAAATGTTCGCGAAATGAGCTGGCCATTTGACTTCATGAAAGATGACAAAACAAAACAAAACCCCAAAACAATTTAGGGCTAAATGCATGAGAAGGTGTTAGTTGTGACTGAGTGCTTGGGATGGTCATGAATTGGCTGGGGCAGCAGAGTAAGGGGACACCCATAGGGTATGTCGACTAAACCTAACACAACGACTACCCATTCGTATGAACCACAACATCAAGCCAACAGAAGGAAACACAATTACTCATGATCCATGAAACCAGAAGCCTAAACGCAGAGAGAACAAACCATAACCATAACCTGTTGAACAACACAACACCTATTTATGACATTAACGTAGTTGTTGGTCTATTTACATGAATGCATAAATGCACTTTATTTGGTTTACTGCATGGAACTCAAACATTCATATAGGTTGGGTATTCTCATTCACGCACACAATCACCGAGGTTGAGGATTAAAACCCCACTAAATAACAGCTACGTTTATGGAAGTCAGTACTGAAGTGTATGAGCGCTCATTCTAAGTCTAAGTATTCACAACACATGCATGCAACAAGATCTAAATTGGCCAAGAAATATTGTGCACGCAGGCACAACCCGGGTACATGATATTCAGAAAAATGTACAAGCAAAAATTCAGAACATGTTCAAACATTGACTTGCATTAAATAATGAACATGTGTACATGAATTCCGTGTGTAAATAATGGTTCCTTGAACCGCCGTTTGCAAACGTCAAGTATAACATCAGCACAGATCTGTACATACAGTGTATAATATGTGTAGTTCAACCTACACTCAAGTGTCTCTATATCTGCAGGTAACAAGATACAAGTTGTATATATCACAGGACAAAACGCACCTCGCGTCACGTTGTTACCGTTGATCACGTCATGGTTCCGTGAGCGGTTGTGGATAGGATCTCGAATGTTGATGACAGCAAGCTCGCCCTCAAATCTCCAGTTAGGCCATTCCTCACTGGGGCTCCAATGTAGCAGGACTGCGTCAGTCACGCACAGACAACAGACGCTACTTTTGTTGTTCTTCAATGGCCGATGATTTATTGGAGATATGGTATAGGTGAAAACGACAACCCTGAAACAATCAGGTGTACAATATAATAAATGCAGCAATATACACATATCCAAACACAGATATACACATATAATTCGTACGTATGTCATAACTTTACAAAATAGTTGCTTCAGTAAACAATTACTGTGTACAAATGTATTTCATTTGATATACATGACATATATACAACATATAAACCTACCAGGTGTGTGGGCCTAGGTTTATTTCACACCTGGGGACGCTGCTGTATCTGTATTAAATGTTTGCCTGTAGAGAAAATAACAACAAATATATACAGACATGCTAATGATGAACATATACAAAAGCATTCTCAGCACTGATACAGTAATCAAACACAAATTTGGCTGTAGCTGAGCAAGATATAAAACAATGCATAAGATTCATTCATTCATTCATTCATTCATTCATTGCTTATTTTCATTCACCCATTTATGATTACAAAGCTATACTTGTGTTCATCCATTCATCACATGCTCACGTGGTTAACCTTGCCTTTTAATAATCAAGTTACTAATATTACATTATAATGAATGTAGAGTATTTATCACCAACTTCACAGTACTAATTTAAGACTAACACACACTGATACAACTACAAGTTATATCTACAAATGATATACATGAACAATAAATAGATAAAATATCCAAATTACCTTAGAATATGATCCAAAGATACGATCCAAAGGTATGTCCAGAAAATGAACAAGACATGTTGACACACTGAAGATTGAATGTGGAGTGACCACAAACCTTGTAAGGTGTAAAAGTGTAAAGCTACGCTGATTGCCCAAGCTGGCTATAAAGACAAAAGAACGTAGGTGGGGAAGGGCTTATGTTATTGTGCTGTGTGGTGAACATGCGGTAGCATGCATGCTCAGTGAACTGGCTGTGAGTGATAGTTAGTTACAAAAGGCAGGCTAAGATTTTATCATGATAAAATAAAATGACTACAACAAAAGCTGTGCAATGAAATTTAAAGCATTTAGTTTTACATGAATTCTAATCAATTTACAACATGTTAAAATATACAAAATCTGTTACTGCCACATATGCAGCTCTGTTGACACGAAGCTCTTGAAGTACAGATAAACACCGTTGTGTGGAACTTTGATGTATGGAACCAACGGTTGTCTCGAAGTAAATGCCTCCGAATTTGTTTCAGCCATTATTTAATGTTGTGTTGAACCTTGTGAAACTCGACGTATTTACGTGTTTCTTCAACTTCAACACAACGATGTTCGACTGTTTACAGGGTGTAAGGATAATACTGTTATCTGTAGATAGGTCATCACTGCAGTGCTAGATGAGGATGGTGACACTGACCCGGACAAATCCCTACATCTCACTTCCTTTGTACAAGGGGCGGTAGGGTAGCTTAGTGGCCAGAGCGCTCGCTCGTCACGACGAAGACCCGGGGTTCGGTTCCCCACATGGGTACAATGTGTGAAGCCCATGTCTGGTGTCCCGTGATGTTGCTGGAATATTGCTAAAAGTGGCGTAAAACCATACTCACTCAGTCACTGCTTGGCACATTATTCTGGAATATTTCGAAGGTATTCTGGCATTTACATTAGGTCAACGTATCAAAGTATTTATAGGAATGAGGGCTTTTTTTCGCTTGGAGAAAATACATACCTTTGCACCTGATCAGTATCCGTTACATGTGTACACACGTCTTGTTTACTGTCAATATAAACGACACAGTGATTACAGGGTGATGTGTCATTGCTACACGTATACACAGGTTTACTCTCAGGGGGATAGAGATGTGTAATATAAAGTACGCGATTTAGACGCTGACATGAAAGAACGTTATTTCAGAGAAAAATAAGAGAAGAGAGTGCATACTGTGACACTGTCCTGGAATATCGGAACTGCCTAGGTCACCAATATGTAGAATGACACAATGGATGAGCAACTGCTGTGTATTTTACAGACGGACCACGCTGATTGTATGATGGTCATGTATCGGATTTCACGACTGATGCTGCTGACATTCGTTGGCTTCACAGAACACGTAGGTGGGTGCTCGTTAAACGGAATAGTATTTTCCTGACATATGCGTTTAGCTACCTGATACTAGTATCGTAATATAAACTACTTACTCTTGTGCATATGTTCTTCATGCAGAATAGTCTTCCAATCCAATGTTTGCAGTGTCGTGTTAATGCGACTCACAACAACGGCGCCGAAGACCCGGGTTCGAATCCCCACATGGGTACAATGAGTGAAACCCATTTCTGGTGTCCCCCGCCGTGATATTGCTGGAATATTGCTAAAAGCGGCGTAAAACCAAACTCAGTAAGTCAGTCACAACAACGGTGATGCAATATACAGTGCCTTTCAGAAAGTGGTCAGATGTAACACATGCTGTATTTCGGAATTCATCATTGAGTACTTTCTGAAGGTAGTGGGTTCGAATCCCGATTCGGATTTAATGTAACAGAAAACTAAATCAACGTCTTCAGCGCTGCAAACCCGCGTAAGATGCGGGTCAGAATGAACCTTCAGTAACCAATGCATATGCATGTCGTAAGAGGCGACTGACGGGATCGGGTGGTCAGGCTCGTTGACTTGGTTGACACATGTCATCGGTTCCCAGTTGCACAGGTCGATGCTCGTGCTGTTGATCACTGGATTGTCTGGTCCAGACTCGATTATTTACAGACTGCCGCCATATAGCTGGAATATTGCCGAGCGCGGCGTAAAACTAAACTCACTCACTCACTTTAGCTCTGCAGCTATGAATTCATCAGCATGTTATTAGTATAGTTACTTCTCAATATTGAAAGAATGTCTATGTACTCAGAAACATTCGAGAAGGTGAAATAACCTTCAATCAGGAAGACTAAAACAGATAGTCGTGGGATGACATTAACGGCATGGGAAAATGTCTTTACTTGTAATGCAGAACAGCATACGAGTAATCCTTATCTTTTGTACATCACATTATACTTACTAACTTATTTTTGTCCCCGGGTTTAATAAGATTGTGACATCTTTTTCATGTGCGATTTTTATCAGGTTCTTTAGTCCTGACAAGTTCCCCCATGACAGTGACAGACGGAGAACTGTTCACCCTGATCTGCAGCAGTAACACAACTGTGGGACAATATAGATGACAGTGGAGCAGAGAAGATACAGTAGTCATCTCCACAACACAAGGTTCACACAGTCCCGATGTAGCCAACAATTACATCTTCAACAGGTATCTGTTAGGTCGGGTCAATGTGAGCTGTGATGCCACACAACACAATGTGACTCTCAGGATCAACTCCGCCGCAGACAATGGATCCAGGTGGCAGTGTGTGGATAATGTCAACACTCAGATGAGCAATACGATGGCGATATGTGAGGCGCTGTGTTTTCTTTGTTCATTATCAGCAACAACATTACATCATTAGATTTGTCAGCACCAAGCCGTTGGTCGACAACAAAATAAACACCCAAGACATGCATCATTTTGGACATTCCCCCAACTGAAAGATCAAACTTCAGCACAGCCTCTTACAACATACATTCTGTAACCAGACACAAAACGGCTGTTTCTACAATATCTGTACATCAACATAATCTGAAACCACCAGATATCCTGGTGAGATGTACAAAACTGCTTCAATAATGTAGATTTACTTACCAGTTGCCGTGCAACATTAATATATCCCAACTCAATGATAGTGTCTGCATTAATTCTAACTTCTGGTAACTAAAGTTATCTCCCTTAGACTGTCAGCGCCTGTCACAACACACCCGCTTATCGTCTAGTCAAATTTCTAAGAAATGTGGAGTTTAATGATGCATGAGGCATTTTTGAGTAAAAGCCAGCAAATAGCATTTTCTAGGGTAGTTTTTCGTGCTGAATACGAATCTGTTGTTTGCTAAGCTCAAAAATGCCTAATTAGGTCACAAATAGGGGTCAAAGGTCAATGAGTGCAAAATTCAAATTTTTAAAAAGTGTTTTATTTATCATTCTCCATCCATACAATGAACTCTTTTTACAATATATTGATTAATAATGTTACCAAAGGATTTCACAATGTTGGATTTCATGGAAATGCTGAAGGAAAAAAATTGTATTTTTGCAAATATTTCCCTTATGGAGCGACTTTTAGATTTTGCGTGAAGAGCTACTTTTTACAAGCATTTTGGCTAAAAAATGCAAAGCAAGGCTGAATGTTTTCCTTTTGTTGACAGAATTATATTCCAGGCAAACTGTTTAGATCACAAAATTTGCATAATAAGCGCATAATTACTTCAAAGGTTAATGAGTGTGACAGGATGCGATAGGCGTTTTTACATGTATGCCACACGAATGCTTTTATACCGCTTCACATGCATGTCAAATGTATCAAATGAAACTGCTTTCATTCATCCAGTGAGGTTGATTAATGATTTTAGCAACATAATTACCCACAGAACAGTTCAGGAAATCACAGGAACAGGTGGGAACCCTATCCGATAATGTGTCAAATACATAGTATGAAGATGAAGGCGAAAGTGGAAAGTATATGCATACAAGCCATTGCTATGACTGAAGGATCGAGGCTGTACTAAAAGACTTTGCTATCACATATTTGGTTTTAGGAATCTTTGTGCCAGAGGATTTTGTTTGTTGGCGCACTGCTTGTACTTTTTTATTCAAAAGGTGCAGTGTGTGTGTGTACCAGGAGAGGTCATCAGTGGCGGTATATACGTAGCCAGCGGTATATACGTAGCCAGCGGTATATACGTAGCCAGCGGTATATACGTAGCTGGCATACACAAATTAGGGAAAAATAAATGTAAGGCTTGCCAAGGAACAGTCAAATGCTTCACAAGGAAATAAACAGACTGGTGTTTCAGATGAAGGATACTGCTCTTTACTCAGGGGTACTTCAACAGTGGACTTGACCTTGTGTATTTTCTGTCAGAGTGCCGAAAGCAAGCAGAAGACGAGCCATGTTTCTACCCTAATAATACATTCTAAAGTGTACACAAATGCAAAATATGCACACAAGGTCTGTGTACGTATTATAGACGTGAATGATTTAATAGCAGCCGAATCATGCTATCACATTGACTAAGTAAATTTCTGTGGGATGCCAAAAGGGCAGAAACTTATTATTGTCCGTGATAAGGCACTATATCACACCACACTTCTCTAAAAAGAAATAATAATATAATATAGGCCAAACTATTGTGTGACATTGTACCTTTAATGACGTAAACCACTCACTCACTCGCTCACTAACAGAATGTGACTAAGACGGAAAGTTTTAACCTTTTGGTACTTATTAACTTGTCCCCCTTTGCTTCAGATGTGACTGTTCCCCAGTCAACACACTCTGCATCAGTTTCTACAGTTTCTACAACAACCACAACAGCATCATCATCGTCGGCGTCAATAATTCCCCCAGGTGACACTAGTATGTCCATCAGTACTCCCCCTGTGACAACGACACGGCAGTGTCCAGGTACGCTCGTGACGGACACTGGCTTTACTTTCAGATAAAACCCAGATCTGCTGGACTAGTAAAACAGAAAACATATTTCGTGGGGCGTGGTGGGCGAGCTGTCTAAGGCGCCAGGCTAGTGATCCAACGAGCTTGAGGTGCCGGGATCGAGCCCACCTGTGACCGGGTGTAAAAACCTCGGAGTCAACTCTGTGTGCAAACTCTCTCAGTGTTGTCACAACCTCTAGTGTACAGTACTTAAACAACCCAATCCGTTGGTAGATGACCAGATGGTGGCCTCATGAATACGTGCAAACACTTAGTTGCGAGTGCAGCAATGTGCAGTAAACTTGGACAAAGTACTGTGACTATGTGTCCCAGTCCACCCAGCTGTGAATGGGTACCGAGTAAAGATGCGAAAGTCACATTAACTCGGTGCGCCTAGTGGCTGCAAGAGTTGTATGATGCCCCAGGGAGTTGAGATTGATAATGCAATGTGACGTTTGAGACTGACATCCGATAATCGAGGGGAAAACAACTTGTGAAGCGCCTTAGAGTGATCTGGAAGTAGGTCATATAGGGTGCTAAAGAAATGTGGCATATAATAATAACAAAAAAAGTACTAGAAAAGTGAATCAAGTGTTAAAAGTTATCAATATCGCTTCCTGAAATCAGGAGCTCAACCTACAAGATTGTCACAGAACTAAGCATCATTGCAGACACCGAGAATGTTGTATAACTTGACCAGAGTTACATATACTGTTTCATGTTGTGTAGTTGACCAGTTAAACATATGCAGTGACTTAAAACAACTGGAGCGATACGTTTTCACATTGTTTGAAATTGCATACATTATAAAAATAAAGTATATACACTTAAACGATTACCATGTTGTTTTATGTTTATTGTTTAGATTGTGTAGTATGTTTGAGCAATGTTACATCTACTCAGTTTAACACTGTTATGGTCATTAATGTCTGTAGTATTCATTCATACAGCACGACAACAGATTCGGGGAGATATTTGTGTCCACGTGTTGGGAAACCGTTCACTGATTGTAATTCCGACTCTGTTCTGGTAGCGTGAGCCCTGAGCCCTAACAAAATTCGAATTTTGACCCAGGACAGTGACTGTTGTTTCCCATTTACAGCGTGTGTTACCTCCTCCAGTGGCGTCTACGTAGCAGCTGGAACTGTTGGCGGTGCTGTGTTCGGCAGCGTCGTCACTGTCGTTGTCGTCGCCCTGTGGACGCACAACAAGAACAAGACCAAAGGTGTGGAATATGCCTTGTTATAGGTGTTGCATGCATGATGTTATCACAAAAACAAGAACGAGAATGACTTAGACAGTCAAAAACACAAGAATGCTTTGTACACTAAACATGCTAAGACACGAGTGACGCAAACGAAAATGTCATAAAACACACTCCGTACTTGAAGTAACATTTGAAGTGTTATTTGTCTCAGATGCCCAAACTACAAACGTTTACGCCTCTACATCAGCGTACGAGGACGTCGATCACCAATACGCCATGGCTCCGAGGCAGTACGTCAACACCGTGGAGGGTGCAGAGACACCACACTACGTGAATACAGAAAGGGATACAGGAGACACAGCCTACTACAACACTACACAGTGAACACCGTGGAGGTTCAGAGACACCACACTACGTGAATACAGACAGGAGACATGGCCTGCTACAACACTACACAGTGAACACCGTGGAGGTTCAGAGACACCACACTACGTGAATACAGACAGGAGACATGGCCTACTACAACACTACACAGTGAACACCGTGGAGGTTCAGAGACACCACACTACGTGAATACAGACAGGAGACATGGCCTGCTACAACACTACACAGTGAACACCGTGGAGGTTCAGAGACACCACACTACGTGAATACAGACAGGAGACATGGCCTGCTACAACACTACACAGTGAACACCGTGGAGGTTCAGAGACACCACACTACGTGAATACAGACAGGAGACATGGCCTACTACAACACTACACAGTGAACACCGTGGAGGTACAGAGACACCACACTACGTGAATACAGACAGGAGACATGGCCGACTACAACACTACACAGTGAACACCGTGGAGGTACAGAGACACCACACTACGTGAATACAGACAGGAGACATGGCCTACTACAACACTACACAGTGAACACCGTGGAGGTACAGAGACACCACACTACGTGAATACAGACAGGAGACACGGCCGACTACAACACTACACAGTGAACACCGTGGAGGTACAGAGACACCACACTATGTGTATTACCTGGACTTCTGGGACATGAGTGTAGCGTCAGAAAACAACGACGTTCATCCCAACATGACACTAGTAGTGGTTAAAGCGTTGGCTCGTCACGCCGAAGACCCGGGTTCGATTCCCCACATGGGCACAATGTGTTAAGCCCATTTCTGGTGTCCCCCGCCGTGATATTGCTGGAATATTGCTAAAAGCGGCGTAAAACTAAACTCAGTCAGTCAGTCAGTGACACTAGTAGGCCAGATGTGGCAGACGCTACTTGGGTACATATGTCCGAACTGATCTCTTAGACCCTCGAATCCACACCTTTCATCTGGTGTCAAGGCTTTGGTGGTTTGGTCAGGCGGTGAGGTGGCCGAGTGGTTAAAGCGTTCCCTCCCACGCCCAGGTCACATTCCATGTTCAGGTACGTTGTCTGAAGCTCATTTCTGGTGTCCCTGACATGGAATTGTCTAATACCAGTTAAAACGGCGGGACTTATAAAACGGCTGTACTTATAAAACGTGTACCTGGATTCAGACTTGGCGCCCAAGACACCCGAGATGTGAGGAGTGATATTGTTGATCTTTGTTGTAAAACAATAGTGACGATGCTCTCGGCTTTAAGTCGTAACTGACATTATCCTCTATTTCAGTGCAGTGTTATACAGATAATATTTCTTCCCTTGCCGTCACATTGACATCACTTCCCGGATAAACTTGCTGATGCGTCTGGGAAACCGAGCAATGCACCGCGAGGATGTGGGCGGCGTCAGAATGTGGACCTGAGATTAGGAGACCCGCCCTATTTGGCGTTGTGTTGAGTGATCGCAGCTGTTCCATGCACTTAAACTATCTTTAGTTGAAGTTAAACGTAAATATTGAAGTTGATCCTTGCTACTGCCATAACAGCACACCTAATAGCAAGAATGTACAGTGACCAGTTATTCAGTCGTGTATAAAAGACTGAAATGGACATAAAAAGATGGAATTAGTTCTACAATAATGGGTAAATAAAATCAGTAATGACTTGATAATTTAAAAGGTGTACACTAGTGTTGGGAATTGGTTAAAATCTCATAATTGATGATTGGTTTATTACAACCGATCAATCATTGAAAAAAATTGGTTAGCGTCATTAATGTTTGTTAATGCACAAAAATATAAGGAAAAAACATGTAGTTCTTTTGGGGTGTTTTGGCAAAATTTCACTTCTTTAAAGGATGACTAGTATGCCAGGAGCATAAATTTCTTGGAGTCTTTAAGATAAATTCAATCATGACTTGAAACGAGCTTGTAGTGCTTATGAAATGTAACAGACAAAAACAACCTTGTGAAAAATATTGTTTATGAAAACAAGTGTTTAAGAATTGTTTGTGTTCGATTATGAGAAAACATGATCGATTGCTTGGTCGTTTAGTCACTGCGACCAATCTTCGATTATTTCAATTAATCGGACCACCACTAGTGTACACAGACATGTTCACATCGTCCATGTTTGAGCGTATGCTTCTCTATGTTATTGATGACCTTTTTAAGGAAATAATCTAATCGAGTTTATGTGTTGAGATAACCACAGTCAACATGGCGTGAAGTCTGTGGTCTGACATGACAATGACAAACAGCATGTGAGCAATAATCACTCAGATGACATGTCAAAATTAAAGTATCTGACCGAAATTGAAACGTCAGCAAATCACAGAAACAGACCCATATTTCAAAACACACAAGATTATATCCAGGCGCCATCATCTCCGATTGCCAATGGATGATTGTCTCGCTCTTCATTGCTGGGCTCCTGTAGCGCTGTTGGAACCCGTGAAGACCCGGGTTAGAATTGGTTTTCAGCAACCCATGCATTCCGTTAAGGGGCGAGGAACGTGATCGGATGGCCAGGCTCGCTGACTTGGTTGACACACGTCATCGTATCCCAACTGCATATATCGATGCTCATGCTGTTGATCACTGGATTGTCTGGTCCTGACTGGATTATTTACAGACTGCCGCCAAATAGCTGGAATATTGCTTATTTCGACGTTACATAACGAAGTAACAAACCTGAACAGTTGTTGGGAGACAGGATGTTGGGAGAAGGCAATCTACAGCTCGTTCATCTTGAAACAGGTCCAGTAGGGGTTACCTATCATCGTGTACCGGGATATTTTAATCTTTATCTGCTGGATGATTGTTTGATATCATCAAAACGTGATACTTAACAAACGTTGAAAAGTACATATCAATGTTCATACGCTACCGGATTTGCAACAGTACATGTATTTCATTAGAGGCGAGGTGAGGTGAAATTGGGTTTTACGTCGTTAATGAATATTTCGCTCATATGACGACGTATTTCCTTAGAACAAACAGACATTGCTCTTCATATTTACATGTGTCATTTGAATTGGGTGATCAAACTAACACACCCACCCATTAGATACCGTGTTAAAGGAACTCGTTTATCTTCTATGGTATCCCACGAATACAGTATTCCCTGTTCATGTCAACACAATTACTGTTACATTGTGACTTTCTCTGTAACCAAGTGTAGCAGCCAGAGATGACGAAACGTTATGGATGATCAACTTCTTTATTTTCGCAATGGCGATGTTTTGGTATAGATTCTTTTACCGTTTTCAAGCATATGATATCCCTAAAGTTTTGTCATCTCTATACCACCAACTTCTAGAATGCCACTCAAACAAATGTAACCACCAGGCTTAAACGAGGGTGGAACACAATTCGTTCATTGATACGTTTGTTACTAAGACTTCAGAGGAGTATGCGTTACTGGTTCATCTAAAGTACAGTCTGGGTGCTCACACTGTTTCACATCGTAGCACGAGAGGGGATCGCAGCACGTCCCTTAGACTAATGCTTAGTCTCTGAATATATATAATTTTGATAGTAACAAACAAGCCCATTTAAATTCAAAAGGAGCCCTAGGGAGACCACAGATTCAGAACGTGAACCTGAGGAAATCTAGACTTGCTTTATTTAGGGCTTTAGCACTGCAGAGAGGGCTAGGCAGTAGGGAAAATAATGTGGTTCGGGGACTGTGAGACAGACTACACATCCCTGTGTAACACAGGTTTGTCATCCACAGGTAGATAACGGGTTAGGAGGTGGGAGTTTGTTACCATTCACTGGTATTGTCGATGTCAGTATCATAATTGACTGACCTTTTTGAAATATACTTTTCGAACTCGCAATCTGCACGTTTCTAACAACTCTTATTATTTGTAGTACAAACATTTGGAACTGCATTAGTGTTGTAAAAGCAGCAATGAAAGCATTGTGTGATATACCATTGAGAGAGAGAGAGAGCGAGAGAGAGAGAGAGGTTTGGCATGAAATTGTGAATGGTATGCAACATGACTTTAACATGCCCACATATCAGTTGGTAGATCACACCGCATCCCGGTCGTGTTGAGCCTAAATCATTGAACGTACTTCCGGGTTGGAAAGATGCACGCCCTAGTTACTATTTACAATATCTTGTGACTCGAGAAATGCGCAGCTCTAGTCTGCAAACTGTGAGTGACAAAGTAGCTATAGCTGGAATATTGCTGAGTGCGGCGTAAAACTAAACTCACTCACTCACTCACTCACTCTATGACAGAAAAAACGGCCACATAATAGGTGGAAGGTAAACAAGCACACCTTCATCCTGAGATGCACAGACTCACAAAGTTTGTAAGCACCTGTATCAAGAGATTGTCAAATAACGTCAGTCAACACTTATAGATGCACAGCTGTTACGACGTCACAACAGGGAATTCAAATCCCACAAAACAGCTGTCAGTATGTAAGAGACATATTGTCACTTAATATTGATCTTATTCTCATTAACAGACAAAGCAATGAACATACAAGAAAGGACAAACAGGAATAGTGTTATGCGAAATGAAGTTTAATAGAAGGCCCACTCCAAGATGTAGAACCAGTAGTAGGTCATGTGATACCCCTCGCGTGAGTCCATGGTGAAGCAGCCAGGGGAGAAGCGACTCACGTGGGTTCGTTGATTTTGGGACCAGGTAAGTCCCGTTCCACTGTAGGGAGCATGTAGGGGGTGAGGCATCCTCTATAACGGAGGAATAGAAGGTCAGATCCACCTGCTGTAGACAGAAAGGGGACAATGTTAACGTTGCCTGGTTACCAACGTCACGTGGGAAGATGGCGGAACCGGCGTTTGTTTGTTGTTTAACGCTGTGGCGGTCTGGAAATAATCGGGTCTGGACCAGACAATCCAGTGCTCAGCAGTATAAGCATCGATCTATCCAACGGGGATACGATGAGCTGTGTCAAAAAAGTTAGCGAGCCGAGACTTGCTAGATAGATAGAGGGATATAAGGCATCACATGACATTCAGTTTTCCCCGTGACAAATATATAGATACAAACAGAGTTCAGTGAACCGGACACAAAGGATATAAATACTACTTTTGTCTGACCATCTCTGTTTATGTACTATACATTTTAGGTGTGCTATCATTATGATAACATTTTTAAACTTTAGCATAGTAACCACACCGTCCCCTTCTGAGCTTGTCCAGCAATATGAAGCTTATACCACACCATGGACGTCTTCTGTCCCTGCAGCTGCTGGACGTTGAACCTGAGAGGACCTCGGTCACATGACCCGACAGAAATGGCGTCTGATAGGTTGTATTTGACCCCGGATATTAACATAGGGGTCGCAATGGGTCAATGCATCCACTGTGAAATAGATGTGTTCCATAGTTTAAACATCACATGAGAATGAACTACTATTGTAATAACTTTATATAACTTTCCACGACAAATCCCTAACCCACTCTTTCACTCGTTCTTGTCATTGTACACGTTCTACTCTTCCACACTTTGAAAGTGCCATTTCAACCACCACAACACTGACTCACCCACCATGTAATGTCAACGTCGCTTTAACTCACATTAACTCAACGTCATACTATACTCAACCACACCATGTCAACGTCAATCTATTCACTCAATTCACACAGTCCTGTACATAGAACCTGTATATATGTTATGGGCTTAGAGCATGTCCCTCAGTGATGTGGATGAGGCGCTATAAAAGTACGCTAATTATCATTAATATTAGGCTACATCAACGTTGTTCCCAACCACACATCAATGCCATTCTACCTACTCCCTCTGCTCTACCCACACGCTCACTGCAAGTTAACGAGTGCTCACATACCCCCATCAACGTGGCCCATACAACATACCTACCTCCACGTCAGCGTCGCCCTACACCCTATCTCTACACCCTATTCCCACGTCAGCGTCGCCCTACACCCTACCTCCACGTCAACGTCGCCCTACACCCTACCTCCACGTCAACGTCGCCCTACAACCTACCGCCACGTCAACGTCGCTCTGCAACCTACCTCCACGTCAACGTCGCCCTCCATCCCTACCTCCACGTCAACGTCGCCCTACACCCTACCTCCACGTCAACGTCGCCCTGCACCCTACCTCCCACGTCAACGTCGCCCGCCACACCCTACCTCCCACGTCAACGTCGCCCTACAACCTATCTCCACGTCAACGTCGCCCTACACCCTACCTCCACGTCAACGTCGCCCTACAACCTACCTCCACGTCAACGTCACCCTACCTCCACGTCAACGTCGCCCTACAACCTACCTCCTCGTCAACGTCGAACTAATCACTCCACGTTAACGTCACTCTATTCATGTACTCCTCGTTATAACGCCTCTCCTTTCAACCAATCGAAGTTAACGGCACTCATTCAACTCATTCTCTTCAGCGTCACTCCACTTACTCTCTCTCTCAACTTACTTTTCGTCCCAGGTGTCATTCACAGTGACAAGAAACTTGATCCCCACCTTCCCATCCAAATCTCCGTACAGGTCTACTGAATCCTCTTTCCCTTCCACAAAACATACAACCAGTAATGTGAGGAGCAGAGCTAAATACATGGTGACAAAGATATAGATAAGGAATCTCAACCAAAACCCGAGACAAACGCGATAAGACCTGACGCATGCGCAGAGACCGTGTTATAGCAGTGTATTTATGTTCCAGGAATTAATGTACTTTGATACAACGGACAAGCTCTTAACCTCATTTCATAAGTCCATACTGTCCATACGTAGAAAGGTTGTATTGCATAAATAAAGTCCCATTGTGTATGAGTGATCTCCCACCAAACGGGTACAAACTGTAGTCTGATCCAAAGACAAGGCAAAGTCGACGAGTTATCTGGTTTCAAGGTACAGTCTGTTTGTCTTTAAATGAGAACGATTTTCTTCATCTGTCATTCCTTCACATAAGTAGTAAACACGATTGCAAAATACCTCAAAATCGGGAACAGTTTCATAAATACCAGTACGGTAGATGGCAGGGTACCCTGTACCCAGCAATATTTGCTGTTTGCTATTTTTATAACCATCACTGGAAAGAGTTGTTTAAGAAGTCCATTTCTGGTGTCCCACGCTGGAATATTGCTTAAGTCCGCGTAAGACCATACTCACTCACTCACTCACAGCCAGTACTTGGTTTGCAGTCACCCCGCAGAAAGTTAAACGGTTGACCCACAATGTGGGAGGCGTGGCCTGGGTGAGTCAGATCGATGATGTTTACTATTTATGTTAAGGAATGACAGTTGAAGAAAATAATCTGAGTTTGGGATTGGAATCTGTAGCTAGACGACGACATTGTACCGCCAGTTCTATAGTTTTATTTAGTTGTCCAGGACATGATGTGAAACCAATAGTAAGTCATATGATAGCCTTCGTCCGAGTCCGAGGTTGCACATCCGGGCAACAGGGACTCGTTGGCCCACGTGGTGTGGGGGGTGAGGTAGGTGCCGTTCCAGCAGATGACACACGCGGGGGGTGACGCGGCGACTTCAGAGGAGTAAAAGGTCACACCAACATTCTGCAACAAACAGATGCATGTTGACGCGATTTTAGTAAAGAATAGTCATAGAGTATATGGACACTTTGCTCATTAAAAAAATAGGTCGTCCAGTAATCAATAACCTGCTCTTTTCAGAAAGGGATACCAAATCACCTACTCTGTCTCACAGTCCCTGAACCACATTGTCTCCTACTGCCAAGCCCTCTCTACAATGCTATAGCTCTAAATGACTAGTCTGTCGTACAGACCCTGAAGCAATTATATCCAAGAAAGCCCACGCAAGTCTAAAAAATGTGGCAAGTCTAGACTACAAATGAAGAAAGTCTCTGGGCTCCTTTTTATTGTTTTATGATTTTAATGTAAAAACGTTTCTGTAAAATATGTTCATTTCAGAGACTAGCTGTTAGTCTACTAAATGAAGCAAGTCTAGATTTCCCCAGGTTTAGGCTGAATCTCTGGTCTCCCTGGGGCTCCTTTGTTTGTTTTTTTGTTACGATCAAAATTATATATATTTAGAGACTAAGCGTTAGTATATTGATGGCCCGTTTGCATCAACAGAGAACAACAATCACAACATTATCCTCCCAGCTTGTGTATTTAGTTCAAATGCAGCCTGGAAAGAGTTGAAAATGAGTGTTCAGCCACCTCTCTCGAAGTATGAGGTTGGTTGGTTGGTTGGTTGTTTAACGCCACACTCAGCAATATTCCAGCTATATGGCGACGGTCTGTAAATAATCGAGTCTGGACCAGACAATCCAGTGATCAACAGCATTAGCATTGATCTACGAAATTGGGATACGATAACATGTGTAAACCAAGTCAACGTGCCTGACCACCCGATCCCGTTAGTCGCCTTTTACGACAAGCATGGGTTGCTGAAGACCAATTCCAACCCGGATCTTCACGGGTCGAAGTATGACGTAAGTCCTACGGTGTGGGAGTGGGGAGGCCCCTGTTTGGACTTATTCATATTCGTGTTTTTACCACGCTGCTGTTGCAGGGGTGGTAGGGGTCGGTGTTATGTCGAAGTGAAGGCATAGGTCCCATAAGGAGGTATGAGCACAGTTAAGATGTAGTGAAGACATTGTCGGGTATTAGAGGCGATGTAGAGTCAGTTAGGGAGTATGGTTTTATGCTGCCTTTTGCAATATTCCAACAATGCCATCAGAAATGGGTTTCACTGACTGTACTCACGTGGGGATTCGGACCCCGATCTTCAGTGGATGTTTTAACCATTAGGCTACTTCAACGCCACGACGATATAGAAAGGCTACAGTAACAAAATGGTCAGGTTATAGGGAAGGCCGGTCAGAAGGAAGGCAGGTTAGAGGGAAGGCCGGTGAGAGGGAAGGCCGGTTAGAGGGAAGGCCGGTTAGAAGGAAGGCAGGTTAGAGGGAAGGCCGGTTAGGGGCAAGGCCGGTTAGAGGGAAGGCCGGTTAGAGGGAAGGCCGGTTAGAGGGAAGGCCGGTTAGAGGAAAGGCCGGTTAGAGGGAAGGCAGGTTAGAGGGAAGGCCGGTTAGAGGGAAGGCCGGTTAGAAGGAAGGCAGGTTAGAGGGAAGGCAGGTTAAAGGGAAGGCAGGTTAGGGGCAAGGCCGGTTAGTGGGAAGGCCGGTTAGAAGGAAGGCCGGTTAGAGGGAAGGCAGGTTAGAGGGAAGGCAGGTTAGAGGGAAGGCAGGTTAGGGGCAAGGCCGGTTAGTAGGAAGGCCGGTTAGGGGCAAGGCCGGTTAGAGGAAGGCGGTTAGAAGCGAAGGTAGGTTAGAGGAAGGCAGGTTAGAGGAAGGCGGTTAGAAGGAAGGCAGGTTAGAGGAAGAGGTTAGAGGGAAGGCAGGTTAGAGGGAAGGCCGGTTAGAAGGAAGGCAGGTTAGAGGGAAGGCCGGTTAGTGGCAAGGCCGGTTAGAAGGAAGGCAGGTTACAGGGAAGGCAGGTTAGAGGGAAGGCAGGTTAGAGGGAAGGCCGGTTAGAAGGAAGGCAGGTTAGAGGGAAGGCCGGTTAGAGGGAAGGCAGGTTAGAGGAAGGCCGGTTAGAGGGAAGGCAGGTTAGAAGGAAGGCAGGTTAGAAGGAAGGCAGGTTAGAGGGAAGGCCGGTTAGAGGGCAAGGCGGTTAGAGGGAAGGCCGGTTAGAAGGAAGGCAGGTTAGAGGGAAGGCAGGTTAGAGGAAGGCGGTTAGAGGGAAGGCCGGTTAGAGGGAAGGCCGGTTAAGGGGCAAAGGCAGGTTAGGAGGAAAAGGCAGGTTAGAGGGAAGGCCGGTTTGAGGGAAGGCAGGTTAGAGGGAAGGCAGGTTTGAGGGAAGGCAGGTTAGAGGGAAGGCAGGTTAGAGGGAAGGCAGGTTAGAGGGAAGGTTCAGAAGGAAGGCAGGTTAGAGGGAAGGCAGGTTAGAGGGAAGGTTCAGAAGGAAGGCAGGTTAGAGGGAAGGCCGGTTAGAGGGAAGGTTCAGAAGGATAGTCTTCACTGGGGTGTTAGGCTGGTGCCCAATCCTGGCTGACTGGTAAATTCCATTGTTGTCAAGATGTCTCATTCATACCATGCTGCTGCTACTGCACGGGTAGTCGGGGTTGGAGCTGTTGCGGACGACGAAAGTGAGCGGCCCCGAGTCGCAGCCGCCGACGTCCACGTGTGTGCCGTTTCGCCAGTCCTCGTTTGGGAAGATTGCCGGCGTCTTCACGGTCGCTATACAGTTGCTGTTGACATTGTTGGGGGAATATTTTAGAGACGTTACGTGTAGATTTGACTAGATCAGATCGGCACCGGAGTACAGCACATCTTACCTTAGTGGCACAAATCTGCACCATAATATAGCGGGTAGAGTACCTCAGGAGGTACCTTACAAGATTCCTTAATACAACATTTACTTTTATACAATGGGTATGTGCCTAACAATAGCAGGTAATATACCTTAGTACAACATACGTGTACCTTACTTCAACTCACTCACTCTAATACATCAATGTTACTTCAGAGCGTACTGGTTAAAGGCAAGGCGGCTCTTCCAAATCAAACCGAAGACTTCAGGTTCCAATCTCAACTTTTTAAAATAAGTGTGGAGCCATGGTCTATCTAGCGACCCTCGCCGCGATAATGCCTGGATATTGTTGAAGGAAGTCACTCACCCACTGTCTTCTCGATGTCTAATTTATAGTAAGTACATGATCCCTACCTCCAAGGTGCATGCACTGACATCAGAAACGTCAGTGACGTCACATCCTCTGGTTTGACGTCAACCTTGACACTGCACACGGAGAGCACCAACACTGACGTCACGAACACCGATAACCGGAACTCACGATACATCTTGAACATGTGTTGAATCGGCTGAACCCTTGTGTATGTTTATTATGGCAGCAGTACGGCCTGAGTACAACATACCTGACCTTGGCATTGTAGACCGTGGAAACAGACGGAAAGTTCTCACCGTCAAGGGTGCGGGATAGATTAACGTATATATTTACAGGAAAAAATAACTGTTTCTAAATGTTTTCATAAGATAATATATAGGAGCCTAGGCTTTCTTCATTTTCAGAAAATATGATAATCTAGACTTACCACATATTCCAAACTTGCATGGGCTGCATATCGGGTATACTGTATTTGTTTCAGGGTTTGAATGACAGACTGGGTTCGGGATGGATTAGCTTTGTATTTTAACCGCTTTTAACGTTTTTCTTTCGTTTATGGGACATCTAGCCAGTTATCGAACATTGTTCTTTTTTCATTTCTAAAGCCCTGTCAAGGTTTTTTTAAAACATTTTTCAGTCCCATGCAGCTGTCTTCCATCAGTAAACAGCGCGGTTCAGGGCCGGTTTCACCAGGGAGACTCTATAAGGAGTTGTAGAGTATCCCTGGTTTCACCAACCGACGGCATATACGACAAAAACAAGTCTATAAGTTAGTTTTTGGTTTCATGCTGTCCCCCAGCATGTACCACATGTAATTGTGTTGTGCAGGATCTACTTCGTTCAGTCGTGTTGTGCAGCATCTACTTCGTTCAGTTGTGTTGTGCAGGATCTACTTCGTTCAGTTGTGTTGTGCAGGATCTACTTCTTTCAGTTGTGTCATGCAGGATCTACTTCGTTCAGTTGTGTTGTGTAGGATCTACTTCGTTCAGTTGTGTTGTGTAGGATGTACCTGTTAAATTGTGTCGTACAGGATCTACTTCGTTCAATTGTTGTGCAGGATCTTTGTTCAATTGTGTAGAGCAGGATCTACTTCGTTCAATTGTTGTGCAGGATCTTTGTTCAATTGTGTCGTACAGGATCTACTTCGTTCAATTGTGTTGTGCAGGATCTACTTCGTTTAATTGTTGTGCAGGATCTTTGTTCAATTGTGTAGTGCAGGATCTACTTTGTTCAACCGTGTTGTGCAGGTTCTACTTTGTTCAACTGTGTTGTGCACGATCTACTTTGTTCAACTGTGTTGTGCAGGAGGTTCCAGTTGTGTTGTGCAGGATCTACCCGTTCAACTGTTTCCTGATCTACTTTGTTCAACTGTTGTTTGTGCAGGATCTACTTAATTCAACTGTGTTGTGCAGGATCTACTTCGTTCAACTGTGATGTGCAGGATCTACTTCGTTCAACTGTGTTCAGCAGGATCTACTTCGTTCAATTGTGTTGGGTAGGATTCAGTATGTTTTATAGTGTTGTGAAATACACTGTTGTTTTATTGGATCTAGGGGATGTAGTAAATTGTTTCAGTTGTCATTTTTATGAAACACTCACCTATCAACACTCATTATGACCTACTTCAAAATGTGCCTAGTGGAACAGATCCTTCAATCTTGATATTGGATTGTAATAAATGTAAACCATAGAAGATCTTTTAAAGGATCCTAGGGTCAAGGTTCGAACCCGAGATACATTCTGATTATGACCCTTAATTTCATGGCACCCTACTGGTGTTGATGGGTCTCACCAAACATCCTGTGACTCAATTACATAATAATCTGAGACATCCAGAATGATTTTATGGTTTTATTTAGTTCTCCAGGACAGTATATGGAACCAGTAGTAAGTCATGTGGTAGCCCTCTACAGAGTCTGACGTCTCACATCCGGGCAACAGGGACTCGTTGGCCCACATGGTGTGGGGGGTGAGGTAGGTGCCGTTCCAGCAGATACTGCACGTGGGGGGCATGGCGTGAACATCAGCGGAGTAGAATGTCACATCAACCACCTGCAAAGGAGGGGGAGCGAATGCACAGTTAGGTTCAGACAGAATAAGTCAGTGGGGGTCTTTGCTGGGTTGTTAGGTTGGTGCCTGATCCTGGCTTATTGGTAAATTCTATTGTAGTGAAGATGTCTCATTCTTACCATGCTGCTGCAAGTGCATGGGTAATAATAAGGGCTGGAGTTGTTGCGGATGACGAAAGTGAGTGGCCCAGAATCACAACCGTTGATGTCCACGTGTTTGCCAGTGTGCCAGTCTTTGTTAGGGAGGATTGCTGGCGTCTCCACAGAGGCAAAACAGGCGCTGCAGACATTGGGGAAATGTGGTAGGAACGTTATGGGTAAACTTGACTACATTATGTACGAAAAGGAGTATTACACTTCCATTGTTCCAATCTTCATGTGTTAGATATTGGTATTCATTCACAAAGTGAGTAGGTGGGTTTAACGTCACTGTGAACAATATTCCAGTTATACCACAGATGGTCACGCTGAAGACAAGCTGTAAGTGGTTAAGGTATAAGATGTTTAGTGCTTAGAGGAACACTTGAGCAAGGGTATGGTCCTGGCAAATCTAAAAACATGATAAGGGGAATTGGGACATTTAAATCAGACGTTGCTTGCATGCATAAGAGATGTAAGCAGATGGAATAATTTACGTGTCTACATTTGTGTGTTTATTTGTGTGTTCGAGGGCAAAACATGTTTTGAACCTATACAGCAGTTGTAACGATGTGGCAACGAAAGCTTCTGGTTGTTGGTTCATTTAAACATTACTCTTTACGTTTTTTGGAAGATTGTGTGAGAGGAAAGCCTCAAGCGTCTTAGAAGTTTACCACTTTTTGAGGATGGTACTGACAAACGAAGAACATTGATATATGTTTCCCAGATGCCTAAGGGACGCAACTCTGTACAACGTAACATTGGGCTCGACATGCCCAACTGGAATTGTGAACCGGTCAAGGGTATTTATCATATTACAAATAAATCATAAAAATAGCTGCCTTAAGACTTCACCCATAATAAGCTGAAGGTAAACTCACTTCCATGGCGCATGCACCGTCAGCAGGAACGTCACAGTATCCACATCCTTTGGTGTGACTGCGAGCTTGACACTGTACACAGACAACACCAACACTGCTGCCGCTACTGTCAACTGTCGCAGGTACGGACACATGACTACCAGAGCGGTGTAATCAACTCTCTGTACGACACATGACTGTCAGGGAGACAATCAAACACATCTGACACCCAGCTGGCTAGTTCTCAGGACAATATTATCTCTATATATTTACTGTTATGTATACAAATGAAATATATAAGGGAATGAATAATGTATGAGCCGTGACTATAGGGTTTGTTTGTTGATCACTGGATTGTCTCGTCTAGTCTCAATTATTTAGTCATTGCTGCCATATAGCTGGAATATTGCTGAGTATGGCGTTAACAACAAATAATTATTTTTTTTTAAATTAGATCATTTACTCTAATTGATAAATCTGTGCCTGAAGACCTGAAAACACTCCACAAAGTGAGTCAGTGAGTTGGGTTTAAAACCGCTTTGAACAGTATTCCAGTCACAGCATGTCAGCCTAACAAAGAAGGAAAGCCTCAAACGGTGAGTGAGTGACTTTGGTTTAACGCCACTTTCAGCAATATTCCAGAAACATCGCTGCCAGGGACACCAGAAATGGGCTTAACATTGTACCCATATGGGGAATCGAACCCGGGGCTTCGGCTTGATGAGCGAACGCTTTAACCACTCAGCTACTCCACCGCCCCTCCAAAACGGTGCATGTCTCAGCTGTGTATCAATCTAGACAAAACCCACACTCATGGGTTAGGTGTTCACAACCCAAAAATATAATCTGATGGCAGCTTCGTTTCTGCTTCATTTCTCTGGTACCTCCATTTGGTATTTTTAATCTCAGGTAAAGCGACCTGCCGCAAAAATAAATATATCCCCCAATGATACATCATTTTGGGTGGAGATGCCACCAGTGCTCAGAAACTAAAGGACATTAAAAATTATCCACAATATAATGCCTCATATTTCCAACTTCCGTCAGATGTACTGGTATGAATGTTCACTTGTATGTTAATTTGGAGTCAATGTGAGTTTAGTTTTATGCTGCACTCAGCAATATTCCAGCTATATGGCAGCAGTTTGTAAATAATCGAGTCTGGACCAGACAACCCAGGGATCACCAGCATGAGCATCGATCTTGGGATACGATGACATGTCAACCAAGTCAGCGAGCCTGACCACCCAATCCTGTTAGTCGCCTCTTACAACAAACATGGGTTGCTGAAGATCAGTTCTAAAGAAGATCGTCACCGATATCTTTTGGAAATTTGGAGGCATCAAAGTGGATGAGTTTGTTTAAATGCTGCTTCAAACAGTGATCCAGTTATATCACAGCATGTCCACCATGTTGCAGGTCTTTGATCTCTGTGACTTGTGAAACCCGCCACAAGCATGGGTGCTGACAAACCGAGAAACCTCAGCAAAAACAAGGGTTCAAACCCACCATCGTGAATCACCGTAAACCATTAGGTCAGCACATGACCCCTGATACAAAAGACACAAGAGAAATTAGGCATTACATTTTTTAATCAAAATAAACAAACATGATAAATGTAACAAAACCTGAAATCACTCAATACAGGAACCTTGAGCCCCCAATTTACATTGTACATGTTAAAGCTTGAAACAAGTGGCTGCAAGCTACTCGCTTATAGCTTTTGATATTAGTTTCAAATTTTTGCATTTTGTTATATCAGGATAATACATGATTTACATTGGTAGGACAATACACAAGGAATATAATACTAACAAAAGAACTAACAATAACAAATTTGAATGTGTAAAGACTGGACAAATGACTCTCCGTTAACAAAACAACTATTTCAATCTTGCTGTCATCGAAAACCTCAACAAATCAGCTTGTCTAAAACATGAATCCAACAACAGTACAGGGCAAAATACACAAAAAATATTAAGGCCAGACCAATTTTATTTCTTGTTTTATGAATTTTTCTCCTCAGAAAACCTAAAGACAGGAGGGAAAAAATAAAAAATAAAAATCACCAGTCAAAGTAATATTTCTTTTAAATACTAAAAGTATTTTATTTTTGGAAATTTATGAAGTGTATATGGGGCAAAAAAATATATAAAAAATTGTTGTAATTTTACATTTTTGGCCAATATAAACATAAGGATTTTATTTTTAAAGCAGGAAAAAAAACTTTTTTTTTCTTATTCTTGAAAAAATACGACCGGAGGATCCATAAAACAAGAAATATAATTGGTTTGGCCTAATGTATAATAACATTTTATATAGACACTATCATTAGAGCACTGACATCTTTAGAATAGTTCAGACATGTATTTTTACCTTGAAAAAATTGCAGTCTGGCTGTCTGAAGGCATCTCTGATTATACGGTGTGTTGTACACCTTGGCCACATTCAACACCATATCTTCATATCAGCACGGAATTTCTCATTTTTAAAATATTTGATTTGATGGCTATTTTGGGCATTGTTCCATATCAAACAGGCTTAAAACAAAGACATGCAGGCAAATGGGTCAAGGATATTTTCAAAATAGAATGGAGATTCACTACACTGGAGGAGATACAAGAAAAGTACTGTCCACAAGCCAAGCAGAAAACACTCTTTAGGACCTGTAGTAGTAACATAAACTTTAAACAGATCAGAAGAACAAACTTTTAGGTAAGCAGAAGACCACATACAAATATTTAAAGTAAGCTTTCTTTTTCATGATAAAAGTAATGGGAAAAAAGAAGAGAGCAAAAAACATTCACTGTCAACTTAACCAGAAGCCCAAGATTGTTTACATTCAAAACAACAGTATTATATACAAGGTATTTCATGTGTGGAGTCATCGATGATATGGCTGAAATATTGCCGATGTGACATTAAATATTAACTCATTCACTCATCTGTGGAGGAGTGAGTGAGTGAGTGTAGTTTTTAAACCACATTCAGCAATATTCCAGCTATATGGCGGCAGTCTGTAAATAATCGAAGTCTGGACCAGACAATCCAGTGATAAACAGCATGAGCATCGATCACGCGAATCGTGGGATAATGGATGACATGTGTCAACCAAGTCAGCAAGTCTGACCACCCGATCCTGTTAAGTAAGCCTCTTATGACAAGCATGGGTTACTGAAGATCAATTCTAACCTGGATCTTCACGGGGTATGTGTATAGTGAAATAAGTCCAGATGCTCCTGGACGATCACACTCTACAGATTTTGCCCAACAGGATGGTAAGAGAACATTTTTCTATCAAAATCATATATTTACAGTGCGGGTTCACCCGCATGTTTTATTTCAATAAGCACCTAGCTGAATAGCTGCATAATTGCTGATGCAGCTTAGATAAGATGTGATAGGATAATTTCTTTATTATCCCTCAGGAAATTTGGCTTTGCATCCTGTAACAGTTCTCCAGTTTATACATTCATAAAACAGCTATATATAACATTGCAAAATGATAATCATAAAACTATTGTATAAAATAATCAGGATTTAAATACATCAATTCAAAGCATTGGTGACTAGAAATTCTATATTGCACATTTGTTATTGATATATAGAGATTCATTAACTGAACATGTTATTGATACACCCTGTTTAACTGGAAAAGTGAATGGCATGAACCCTGTAATGTGAAGAATGTAATGATGAATATTCGAAAAAAAGTCTGTGAGTGGGATCACTAAAATTTTGTTTGCCTTTTGGAAATTTGCTGCTCATAATAAGTGCCAATACTTTCAATAGGAAGCCCAATGATTTTTAGATGCGTGTTTATGATTTTTGAGAGTTTGTTTTGTTTTGAACAGACAGGTTCCTGAATCATCTCAAGAAATTAAATGTTATGACATTCTGAATAAAGGTTCTGTAACACTAGCATCATGATAGTTTTTGGTTTCAACTTCCACAAAAAATGCAAGCATTTTTGTCCCTCATTATATAGTTTTAAATCATTCAGGTGCTTTAAATCATTCCAGGTGAAGTTTTTAAATCTAAATCACAGGAGTACCCAAGATATTTGTCATTCAGTTAGCTTCCTATCTCAATACTTTGAATCTTATCTTCAATACTTGTACTTCTATACTCATTATTTTCAAAAACAATTTATGATCACTTTCTTTGGGTGAGTCATTTTTTTGCACATTTAAAAATAAAAGTTTGATTAAGATTTACAACATTCTACAAATTTTGAGATTTCAGCTCTGTAACAATATTCTGATTCTCTAATGAACTACTCAGTACCAATGCAGGATCATCAGTGAATTTAACTGTAAAACACGTGTCTGCGTTGGATACAAAGTCATTGGTGTAAAATATAAACAAAATTGGTGAAATAAGCGCAACCTTGTGGAGCACCAGTTGATGTGTTTACAATTGATGATTTCACATTATTAACATGTATAAACTGTTGTCTGTTAACTTGAAATGAATTAATCCATTTGATGATGTTAGAATTAACATTCATCTTGGAAAAGTTTATCAATTAACAAATGAGGTTGAATAGTATTAAAAGGCGGATGAAAAATCAACAAACATTATTCTGACATAAGTACCATAGTTTTCTAAATGCTTATAGATATTGTTTAATATTGTGATTGTTGCATCTCCTACCCCAAGCCTTGCTTTGTATTGTAATGGGTCAAGAACATGGCTGACTTCATTCAACAATAAGTTCTTAACAATGCGCTCCAGACATTTCATGGCAATAGAGGTTAGGGCTGTACAATAAAGAAGTTGATCATCCATAAAGACTTTTCATTCCTTTTATGAGAGTTAATTGATATCTGAAATAGCTTTTGAAAAATAACACCTAGGTGCACTTTAAGAACAATCCCAAACAAGTAAAGCAACATTTATCTTTAGAAGCATTAAAGTCAAAACTGACCTCTTCAAAAAATTCTACAAGCAATAACTGCCAAATATTCTGATGGTCTTTATTGATGAACTGCCATGTTTGCCACATGAACTCAAGCAACTCTTTTATATATAGCACTTTGAGCATGCTCTGGTTGGACTATGGCACACAAGAAATATCCATTTACTATTATTTACTCACTCACTCATTCATTTAGCACTTCTCTATGCAGTGACTACCTGATGTAATTCAGTCTGATTAGGGCTCTAGATTACTTCAACAGGTGAAGTTGTTATAGAGGGCACACCAAGTGA